TACACATATATATGTATATATACATATATACATAAATTAGCATTTAACATAAAATAGGATTTATGTTAAAATATTTTTGAAAGAACAGAAGAGATAATTTGGGGAATTTAATTAATTTCTCCCTACTTCTTACTTATAAATCTTCTATTTTGTTTTGAATATATATACACACATATACATGTATTACATGTATGCTTCAAATATGTCATATAAAATATATACATATATTTAGCTTTTCATATAAGAGAAACCATGTGATGTTTACACTGTGTGTCTGACATATTACACTGAACAGTATGTTCTCAAGTTGCATCCATTTGCCTACTAATGGTTCAAGTTTATCTTTATGGCAAGGTAGTATTCCATAGTGAACAAATACCACATTTTCTTTACCCATTAATCTGTTGATGAATGTATACGCTGTTTCCAAGATCTAGCTATCATAAATTGTGCTGCTATAAACATGGGTACACACATATTCCTGTAATATAATGATTTTAACCCTTTTAGGAAGATATTCAGAATGGATCAAATGGAATTCCTATTTTTGAGTTTTTGAGGAATCTCCACACTGATTTCCATAGTGTTGTACTAATTTACATTCCCACCAACAATGTAGAAGAGTTCCTTTTTCCCTACATCTTTACTGTTATTATTTGATTTTTTTTATGATAGCCATTCTTTTGGGCATTAGATGGTATCTCAGTGTAGTTTTAAGTTGCATTTCTCTAATGAACAGGAATACTGAACATTTTTTTCATGTGTTTATAGGCCATTTGCTCCTTCTGAGATGTGTGTCTTCATTGCAGTGGCCCACTTATTGATTGGGTGTTTTATTTTGTGGAGACTATTTTACCAATTTTTGACCAATTTTTCTCTATCCAATGAATAGCTACACTGACAATTTTTTGTTCCCATTCTGTAAGTTGTCTCTTCACTCTGTTGGTTGTTTCCTTTGCTGTGCAGAAGCTTTTTAATTTGATATGATCCCATTTGTTGATTCTCGGTGTTATCTCTTGTAACATTGGGGTTCTCTTGGCGAAGTTTTTACCTGTGCCTATGTTTTCAAGTGTTTTATTAATTTCATCTTCCAGTAGATTAAGTATTTCTATTTGACATTTATATCTTTGATCCATTTTGATTTAAGTTTAGTACATGGTGAGATAGATGGGTCTAGACTCAATCTTCTGCACGTAGATATCCAGTTTTCCCAGTACCTTTTATTAAAGAGGCTATTTTTCCCTCCAAGGCATGTATTTTGCCCCCCTGTCAAAGACAAAATAGCTGAATGTGCTCGGTGTTGTTTCTTCTTCCTCTATTCTATTCCACTGAAGTAATATTTTAATAAATCTGGGAGTTATGAGCATGACTCAAATGTAGACCCATCTTTTCAATGGAACAATTTATTAGAGTAATACTGTTGACTAGGTTCTTAAATTAATTTTATTCTTTAAGGACTTGAAGAGTAAAGAAAAATAACATACAATTCTCACTACAAGATAACATACTTCGTTTCTGCCTAAAGCATAATTGATTCAAAATACTTAAGATAAAATAATGAACAAATGTTACTCCTAATGCCTTTAAGTTCTTAAGAATCTAATTCTATTTGTATACCTTAACTATACAAAGTTAATTTACATATGTTAAAGTAAACAAAATCTTTTAATACAGAAGTTGAGCACAAAATCATACCAGTATTTAAATGCCTCATTTATGTCATTCTAAAACAAGTTATAATAGCTCTTACCCTGAATTTGATGCCAAGCACTGCAAACAAATGAAAAGTACATTTATATCCTGTAATACTGTGAACATTCTTTATAGTTACACAGAGAAATATAAAATTGTTTAGTATTGTAATTTAAAAATTCTTTACCAAAATGATACATACACATATCTTACACAAAAGTTAAAAAATACTTATAAAAATGCTAGCCTCAACACCTTCTTATTAACAGATTTGCTTCTCAGAAGAAACTGATTTTATCCAATTTAGATTTGGATTTTTATCTTCATTTAAATGTTATTCTGATATAATTTGTGTTGTTTTATTGGTGCCATATTATATTGTCACAAACTCAGTGGCTTAAAGAAACAAAAATTATTATATTACAGTCCTGTAGGTTAAAAGTTTAACAGAATCACTTGACTAAGATGAAGGTGTTGGTAGGAGCTATGTTCCTTTCTGAAGGCTCTAGAGAAGAGTCCCTTTAACTCCCTTTCTAAGTAGTTAGTTTTAACTCCCTTTCCATCTCATTCCAGAAAGACTAGCTGCTATCAAGAAATCAACCAATAACAAATGCTGGCGGGGTTTTGGGGAGAGAGGAACCCTTCTCCATTGTTGGTAGGAGTGCAGACTGGTGCAACTACTGTGGTGATCAATATGGAGATACCTCAAAAAACTAGGATTAGATTGACCCAGCTATTCCCCTGCTGGGTATCTTCCCCAAAGAATTAAAAGAATCATACCACAGCAATATATGTGCACCCATGTTTATAGCGGCACAGTTTGTAATAGCTAAAATTTGGAAACAGCCCAATTTCCAATCAACTGGAGACTGGATAAAGAAGATGTGCTTTTTTTTTATAACATGGAGTACTACTCAGGCATAAAGAATAAGAAACTAGAGCCATATATAGCTAAATAGATGGACATCGAGGCCATACTCTTAAGTGAAATAAATAGGACACACATGTGTAAATACACTTTCGAAGTAGTTAGTTTCTAAGTAGTTAGAGGGAAGCTGCATTCATTGGTTGTTACTCTTCCTCTGTCTTCAAGGCCCGCAAACACTCTCACCATTCTGTTGTCACATCTCCCTCTGACCAAAGTCTCTCTCCATGCACTAAACCAAAGTCAGGAAAAGTTTTCTGCTTTTAATCTCTCATGATTACATTCAGATCATCTGGAAAATCCAGGGTAGTATCCCCATTCTCAAGGCCCTTATTGGTAATCACATACCAAAACTATCTTTTGCACTACAAGTTAATGTATTTAAAAACTCACTAGGAGCCATTATTATGTCTGCTACAAGGTTATTTCATGGTTCAGATATGACTGCTCATTAGGAAAGATGAGGATTTAACCCTTTTGGCATACCTCCACTCCTCACCTCCTATTTTTAGATGTTTATATTAACTCTTTCATTAGGTATCTGGTAAGTTTAAGCAATATATACCTCTAGTTTTTTTTTTCTGTCAATTGTAGACAACTACTTTATCCACTATGTAAGTTTCAATTCTTTTTCTTTCACCATTTCCAACTCTTCTGTCCACTTAACCTTCAAATATATATTGTACATATCATATATATGTCATTTTACATATGCCAAGCTATATATGACTTTTAACTCTACTCCATAAACATAGTAAGTCTTCTCTGTATTATATGTCTTATGACTGTGTAGATATCATAGGAAACAAAAAAAATGCACTGAAGTCACATTTTCATCTTCATGGATGCTTCTCTTCCCCCAAAAAAGGCTACCGATGCCTAGGATTTTCCTAACATAAATTGAATAAAATATCAATTATGTAAATCATCTCACATTTTTAAAGGTATTTTTAAAATGTGAAATTCAGTTCACTGAAGTTTTCTTTCCAGCCCCACATACAAGGTCTTTTATATCTTTAAAGTTCTATTGGAATTCTTACTGACTTCTTATGCTCTAAACAATCTACTTTTAATTTTAAAAGAGATATTTTATTGACCTATAACTGTAAATTCAAGTGGCATTATACTTTTTGTAGATGCAATATGATACATTTTTCCACATAATTTCTCTTTAGCACTGCAGAAGTTCAAAATTAGCAGAAATAGCAATATATCAAACATCTAAAAGGCAGTGCAAATACAAATTCCTACAATGTACACTGATCTTCTTTCTTATGCATACCTCTTCTTTGCCTTCTAGATAGACCCCAAAATGGAGGAGAGACGGAGACATCCAGTTTGATAAAAAGAGTAGAATAATACAGAAGTTATTATATACCTGAATTTTTAAACTTTTTATTATTGCTTCTTGTTACATTTTCTTACATATATCTCACATTAATTTAAATCTTAGCATTCACTTGTATAAAGAGATAATTTAATTATATTAAAATATTTGAATATTCTTATATATCTGAATATATGCATATATAAGATAAATACCATTATGTATTTGTTGAGTTTGAAAACTGAGAAATTTCTCATATACTATATATTTATATATATACACACACATTATATACACACACATTAATGTTCTCTAAAATTGCCAGCATTCTTGCTCCAAATAATATAAATGTTTGGAGAATAATAAGTTATAGGCAATATTTCAAATCATTCATGTTTTGTAATAATCAGTTTGTTAAACTAAAAATCATAATTACAAAAGGAATTTAAAATTCTATCAAATTTCTATACATACCTGAGTTTTTGTGACTTTATTATTATGTTCCATTTCATATAAAGGGACATTAAATACAAATTCGGTCCTGGACAGTTTCAATGGCGCTTTCAATGCTTTGAAAGATAAAGTAATTATATTGATGAAACATTAATAGATATAAGCTCACAGATATTTATTATACTTTTCAGAATAAAATGATAAGAAAATAAGTTTTTTATTCTGTTTTTGTGTTTCCAGCCCAAAAATAAAATTACATTTTTAAATATTTCTAAAATATTTTGGTTTTCATAAAAAACAAAACTTCATTTTGTGATTTTAATAGTAATAAATTACAATAAAATAAGAGTTGTCATTGAGATAATAAAATATAAAAATACTTAATAGCAAGCTAAGAAAAAAGTAAATGGCATTAAATTTAACTTGCATTCTAAAGTTTAAGCAATACAAAAACAGACAGAAATGAAGAAGGAAAATTACTGCAAAGCAGGGAAACTATATAGATGGAATATCATATAATATTTCCTAGATGACACAGGGAAGTTTTGGGAGAAAATGGCTATTCAATGGAAATATAGGAATAGGTATGTCTGTAAAAATACTTAATCTATTAGTGAGGTTCTCAATACTTTCTGGACAAACATACTTTTTTTTAAACGTTTCTGATACATCTCAATTTTTAATGGAAATTAAAATGTTTTACAAGCTCTTAGGAAAATATATTTGAACCAAACCAATTTATGATTCTAAAAATGCATGTATTTTACATATATTTTTATTATATTACTTGAATTAATGGACACTTTGCCACAAGGTTAGGATCTATGAGATATGAGAAATTTATCGATATCATTATGTTACACCCAAAACCTGTCATAAGAAATCTTGAAAAAGAAAATGTTATGAAAGATATACAGAAAATAGGACCTGTAATATGTCCTTCTTATTTGGAAATTAGCAATAAGACATAAGCAGAAAAAGATAATGCACTGGTTCTGCCTTTTTAAAATTATAGCATTGTTTTGGAATATTATTTCTCCATTTAGAGAATTTTATTTAAACAAGGAAAAGATATTCTCTTTAACAGATTATTAGAGATCATTTTATGGAGGAACTGAACCAACAGATATTAAAGACTTTCCGACTAATATTTCATATTACTCCACTCCTCCATATTGAAATATTCATTGGTATCCTGATGGCCAGGAGATAATATAATGTTTGATACTGAAGCTAGTTTTTGAGAGTCACTAATAAATATCAGTGAACAGAAAAGGGATAAAAGAAACTGAAGAAATGCCTCAACATGACAAGGTGTTATAAAAGAAAAATAATTCAGTCAAAAATAGAAACAATGTTGTCAACAGAAGATAATGTCAAAGAAATCATTATAATATAATTAGAGAAGGTATTGCTTTCATAAAAGCATAAGGCCAAAAAATAAAGGAATATTAAAAACCTATTCAGAACTCTTACAAGTCTAAACTGAAAAATTTTTTAAATGAAAGAGGGAACTAGAATTTCACATTTATTAAAATCGTAGGAAGACATTACTTTTTCAAAGCAATGCTAGAACTCACAGATGGAAAGATAGATTTCATCATAAAATGAATAAAATGGTCCTTTTAAAAAATGAATAATTCAGAAAACAAAACCAGACAGCGATTATTTTCTCGTTATGTCATTTGGGGGCCACTAAGGTACATCAACATTCCCTTTTTGTTTCATTTTAAACATTCTGAGACAGGGTCTTGCTAAGCTGCCCAGGCTGAGCTTGACATTGCAAACTTCCTGCCTCAGCCCCCCACTCGGCTAGGATTACAGGCGTGCCTGGTGATATCTTAACTAAAATTTTAAAAATTGAACTTCAAGGACACTACACACCAATTATACCATTCTTAATTCAGGATTTTAAATGAGAGTGAAATAAAGTTCTATAATTTTATGCTATTTAAGGAAGACTTCTCATACTAGCTGTCATGCACAATACCTGACTTGTATGACATTCATCCCTTTTATAATTGATGAAAACTGGGTATCAGAAATACAAATGTAAAACACAGTCTTGATTTCCCAAAGAAAAATACTTAAACATCTATGACAAAAGGCAAAAGCAAAGCTTGTCAAAAATATGGTTTACAGAGCACGTCAATTTTATACTGAATATCTGGAGAAAGTAGATAAATATTCAATAAGTAATGGAAATTTTAATATAATTAATCTTCTTTATATGTACTTAGGCCTTTAGTAGTACATCCCTGTGGGATAAAAATATTTTCTTAAAAACTGTAATTGATTCATTTTATTTTTGACCTGTTTTATTTTAAAAAATTGTATTTTGTCTAAATGATTTAAAAACAAGTAACAAAATAAAGTGCTGAATTGACCTGTTTTTATTCTTTCATATTTTTTCACCTGCAAATATATCTGTATTATTAATCAACATTCAATCTCATAGACTCACAATTTAAGTGACACATAAAGAAATCATATTAAAATTTCACTTTCTAAGATTTCTAATATTGAAAAATAAATGTCACATGCTTATTTTCTTAAAATTGAAATGCTTGAATGTAAATCATTGGCTGATCTGCATCAGTTGACTTTTATATTACATACCAGTAGCTTGAACATAACAAGGTTGGATAAGTGGAATTGTCTTTGGCATCAAAGGCTTTTTCATTGATAAATACTCAGTGTAGAGTTCTGAAGACCTGAATGAATTAATATGAACTTCTATGCTGAATTCATATGTTCGCATCTGAGAGACAGAAACACATTGTATTTGAGATTTTATTTTTGCTTTGAAAAACGGTGATATTATTGATTTAGCAAAAAACAATTTATAGAAAGTTTTCAATATAAAATTATCTTGTGACACTGAAAATCCATTTAAAAAAATAAGATGATTTATTTTAATGAGTTCAAACGCAATTCTAAAAAAAAAAAAGTACAGACATTTTGCAAATAATTCCTACTTATATAAAATGAAACATCCACCAGGAGAAGTGGAGCATGCCTTTTATCCAGCAATCAGGAGGCTGAGGCAGGAAGATCTCTAAAGCCTGGGTTTCATAGTGAGTTCAAAGCTAGCCTGAACTACATAGTGAGACCCTGTCTCAAAAAAACAAAACTAAACAAAACAAACAGTGCACCAACTATCTAAGTATAAAAACTAGAGATATAAAGTATTAGAAAGAAAAGGTAGGAGAAATATATTTTTAATTCTTTGTGTGGTTATGCAAAAATCTTTTTTTAGGGTACTAAAGACTGAAACTGGAACTACACACATACCAGTCACATATTCTACCACTGTGCTACACCACCAACCCCTGCAAAAGATTTCTTAAATGCAAAACTGAAAGGATCATCCATAAAAATTATTAATTCATACATTATAAAATTCAAAAGGTCTATTCTGTTAAAGACATCATTTAAAAAAATAAAATATAAGCCCAAAACTTTTCCAACAAAAAAAATCCAACTTATGTCCAAAATGATAGAGATTTAGTTATCAATAAATAAAAATGAACTAGCTAATAAAAATATGGGAGAAAGACTTGAAAAGACACTTCATAAAAGAAGATATGTACATAATGAGACATTAGCACATGCAAAGATCTTTAACACCATTACATATTCGGAAAATGTGAACCGAAATCAAAAGAAGAGCCACTCATACCTATCATAGTTGCTTAAAAACAAGTAACAATACTAAATGCTGGTAAAGATGTGAGCATCTAAGACATTCATACATTGCTGGTGGGAATAAAAAAAATTTACAGTAACTTGAGAAAGCATCTTCCCAGTATTCCCATGGTCACAGGATGTTTTTCCACTTATTTATTTCTCCTTTGGATTCTTTCATCAATGTTTCATAGTTTTCAATGTATAAGTATTTCCTTTCCTTGGTTACAGTTATTCCCAAGGATTTTATTCTTTCACTGTGTGAGATTATTTCTCAATTTCATTTTAGATTGTACTTTGTTAGTAAACAGAAATATAAGTGATTTTTAAATACTGGCTTTGTATCCTGCAACTTCACTGATTGTATTTAATATTTCTAATGTTTTTTTGTGTGTGTGGCTTCTTCAGGGTTTTTGTGACTTACCACTTCTTCTCATAATAGTACTTTGTATTTGTTCTGAGCCAGAACAATTAATTAACAAAAAATATAAAAGGCACCTAAATCAGAATGTAAAAAGTTAAATTGTGTATGCTTTCAGAGGACATGATCCTGTATGTCGAGAATGCTAAATACTCCATGTACACATGTGCAAATGCAAACACAGGCAAAAATGTAAATATTTTAAATGTGGAAAGTTAAGAAAAATAATATTCTAACATACCAAAAGCCTCCAAGGTCATGACAACAATGATGGTTTCAGAGGTACATATATATATAGTGCTGTGCTCTACTCATAAAACCCATGTTGACAATCAGAAAAGCTTTAAATAAAACAAAGAGCTAAATAATATAAAAGGTATATTTTCAGCTCTAGTTATTTGCATTGCCCTGTTATGCAAAATACTTAGGTTTTCATCTTATTTTTATTTAAGATTAGATGGCCATACTACTGCCAATTCCATCTCTTGTCATAGAATGTTATGCAAACAGCCTGTTCTCATAACAGAATTACAGAATTATAAAATATTACAGTATGTGTTATTTTAATGGTCTTTTCATTTCTTTGACAAACAGAGCACGCAACTCATTCCCATGATAATCTATTTCTGCACTGGCACCAACAAACATTACAGAGAAAATTGTATAAAGACATACTATTTCATGTACAAATACAACTTGCTTTGATATTTCATATATAAAGAAAGACACAACACCAATTTTGCTTGCTCTTACTTTTTCTGGAATTTCATTTTAATTTATTATTAATGTCTTCAGTAACTAATTAAATTTTGTATCTCATTTCTATATTTTTTCTTGTCGTTCATGTTTTCTTCTTACAATTTAATTGATATAAATCAACGTTTTTTATTATACATGTTTAACATTACATATAGTTGTCCCTCAGCATCTATGTGGCAATGGTACAGGACACATCTCGAACCCCTTCCCCTGCCATAGGTATAAACTCAGATGGATGCTCAATTCCCTTATAAAAATAATATAGTATTTATACACAACCTGCGCACATCTTCTCGTACACTTTTAATCATGATCTTCTACACAGACATACAGAAATCATTCAGAAATGGAGAGTAGAGTGCACATTTTAGAAGATGATTTTTCAGTACTGAGAATAGTAAACTCACACAAAAGAAAGCTCAAAGTAGTATTTTTAGCAATGACTATCTAGAAAAGTAAATCCAGGAAGAAAGCCTCCAGAAATCATCACTTCTACACACACACCAAGATTTATACAAAAGGCTATTAAAAACTACACTTGAGATAGGCATGTTTCTTCTAAGAAGATACCATGAAGCATCCAAAGAAAAGCCATAGAGGAATTATGCAACTGTAGGGACACCAGAGAGCACAAGGAGAGAAAAAGAAAGCCAGATGTGAGTGGAATCCGAGCTGATAGGAATGATAATCTATTCACAGAGATGTTCCACGTTTGGAAGATGACTGAAGTAAAAAATTATCTCAGTCATGATGTGTTGAGTCCTGACAGTTATTGGATATTGAGTCTTGATTGTTGTTGGGTCTAGTGCTAGAACCCAAAGTCATAGACAGGAGTGGAAAGTTACAGTTATGAGAATGATTTAATATAGGATAAGACTTTAAGTTTCATTTAAGAATGTCTAATCTTGTGGAATGTTGATGACAATGGTGGTATCAACATATTCGTGTCAGCCCTTAACTGCCACTCATTTATGAAGGCTTTTCCCTTCTGACAAATGCACATTTTCTAAAATGTTATGTGCTGAATTCACAAGGATGAAACTTTGTTTTGTAGTAATGGGGATTGAACCCAGGACCTTCACATTGAACTACACATGCTCTGCCTTTTAAAATTATAGTATTTAAAAAAAAATTTGAGACAAGTTCTCAGTTGCTAAGTTGCTTAAGCTGGGATAGAATTTGCTAGCCCCCTGTCTCAGCCTGTTAGAGTGCTATGACAATAGGCATGTGTCACCACAGCTAGCTACAAGGTTGAGGTTTAATTACCAATTGTGTGTTTGTGGAACTCACACTGGACTTGCCATTTCTTAGTCCACATCTTCACACACAATTTGTATAAAAGTTGTTCCCCCATTAGGCCAGCCCTATAATCTCACATAATGAAAAATTAGGAGGTTTAGTTATTTCTTCACTTAAGAAAGTTTTATTCCTTCAACAAAACTGTAACAATATAAGACTCATCTCTTACACAGAAACCAACTAACCTATAGAGAAAAAACATCGGTCTTATTATGAAACTACTGAGGTATCCAAATAAGAACAGAAACATGGAAATTATTCTTATATGTGACCTTCTAAATACTTTCCCAGATGATGTTATTCAGAAAGAAATACCTCAAATTTAAAGCAGACAATCTAATGAACTAAGAATTTCAGTCCTCAGGCCACCATTGGTGGAAAAAAATGCTTATGAATCAAAACAGAGCAGCTATCATTCAAATACCTTTCTTTTAATCCTTAGGGCACTATTTTTGTCTTATTGCAAGAACGGTTGTAAATCCAGAATAACTATTAAGATTACCCAAAGGCTTGCACATCCTTAAAGGGCAAGCAAGGCTCAGTGGAAAAAAAAAAAAAGGTAAAACTCCCCTATATTCAAGAACTACAAGGAAAATAGAAAGCAGCCCAAATGAAAGTTACAGAGAACTTCAGAGCAACGGAACCACTGAAAATTAATCAGCCTATGGCACAGGGCAGAATCTTGCATATAATAGGGGAAAAGCAAAGTGACTCATTGGAAAATAGCTATACCAATGCTATCCAGTGAGACTTTCTGAAGTGAGGGAAATGTTTTACACTATACACTACTCATGTATGGATATTAAGAACTTGAAGTGTGAGAACTGTGAGAGAGGGGACTACTTTTTTGATGTCAGTTAATTCTAATTAGCTTAAGCTTTAATTTATTTAACCACATCTAGTTAATGTCTACCATATAGGGAAGGACAACTATATATACTGGACAGGAAGACATGAGTGGTTCTTAAGGAAAGGGGAACGTGAGTGAATTAAAGTTCAGGTAAGAATATAAAATACAACTGTAATTGCCCAACAACACTTTTGACGAACTGTCTTTAAACATGTTACACTGTAAAACAGGAAGGGTTACAGCTAGAAATAAATCAAATGTTTACTGATGATTTCACATTTTACTACTCCATAAGTCAGCCAAGAGAGCACCCACTGGCTTTTTATATTTACACACATACACACAAAGACAGATAACTTATAGCTCACTATAGTGGAGGGCATGTGAAATGATTGGAACTCAGATAATCAATCTTGCCTTCTTGTATTGCTGGCACAAATTTATGAAGCAAATTCTCACAGGGTATGCTGTCTCTGTAGGATTTTATATGTTCTTATAGTTGGACTGAATTATACTCCAATACACGGAGTAAACTGCCCTTTAAAAAAATCTGCTCAATATAGAATGATTCAGAATTTTTAGAAAAGTAATAGCATTTCACAGAACTATAAATATATGTAATATAGTTTTATAATCAATTTCTAGAATCCTAAAAAAGGTACAATCTAAACATTAATAAATAGGTTTAAAATTTTTGTTGACAGTGATAAAAACAATGTGAGTCAAAGTATCATAGTGCATATAT